CTTCCCGCTAGTAAGCGGTCCCTATTTATCTACTTGCACCCGGGGGTGCTTTCGAACTGCTAGGTTGGCAGGCGCTGGGACCGAGTGACGGGAGCACACCTCACCGCGGGGATTCGAACCGCCGACCTTTCGATCGGCAAGTCCTAGGCGCTGAGGCTTTTACTCACAGCGCCACCTGGGTCCCTTGACATGCGTATAAATAAGTAAATACTTTCTCAGCTACATAAGCAAATCTATTTGGCTAGTGGGGATTACTGCTGGCAATTTATAAAGTATAAAGGCTTAAATAAATAAATAAAACACAGGCTTGCGGGTGTTAGACAGTGCCTAGCCTGCTTGACCAACTCGCTTTAATAGAAGTTTGGCATTTAGGGGTGTCTGTTGTAGGGCGGTATAACGGCTTCCAAGAGAACCCAAGAGGCAGCATCTTCTGTTCCTCCCCAAAAACGCCCCAATACAAGTGGGTCCTGTGTTCAAGACGGATCAGGGGGGCCTGCTATGCCCTGCAACCCACAGGCCTTATTGTAGTTTTTTCTCTGCTTTTGAAACCTTTTATCAATAGTTTAGGCCAATGGTCATTGGGTCCTCTTCCCAAATAGTGAGTACTCCTGATTGCATACCTGACACTGCTCCTAGCAATGAGGAGCTCCCTTGCACTTCAGCCTCCTTATTCAATGTTTCACGGTCTGGTAACAATCCATCTATGCACCCCCACATGCGATCACAGTCTTCGTGTTCTCGCACTGCCAATCCCAGTTCCTCAGGGGGCAGGGCTCGTTCTGCCAATTCTAACCTTTCTGCTTCTCAGTATACCCCAGACTTTCCCAGTATTCTACAGGATTCACAACCTCAGTCTACACCCACGGAAGGTGACTCCGAAACATCATCGGAAGAGGAGGTGCAGGGGCAACAGGAAGCATCTGCAGCTGCTGAACAGCATCCAGTCGCCAATGAAGGGCAAGGGAGAAAGAAGAAATCTAAGAAGAAGCATTCGGCTAAGAAGAGCAAGAGAAGTAAGCCGTCAGATGCTGAGGATGATTCAGGTACTTCTTCAGATTCTGATAGTGATGCCTCCTTGGATGGTTATGGGGTTTTGGGGAGGACATTTAGGGACTCCTCCTTTGGGTGCATGAGAGTAGGGCAAGCTCTCACCTTAAAACGTTTAACGGGTCACTGGAGTGGAAGGGGAGAGCATTGGTGGAGGATGTAAAAACGTCCACTAACGTATCCACTGATGTCATCTTGGGTAATCACCTTTCCCAAAGGAAAGGGACGAAAATACTGAATGGGGATTATGTAGACATCTTCTCTCTGCTGTCACCGCCCAAGGTAGCGGGCAAGGGGGAAAAGAAGCCCTTTTGTGGGTGATTGGCTAAGCTGTCGGTGGGACTGCGTGCTCCTCAACACAGAGTGCGCTTCTCTAAAGCGGTCAAGTCAGACCTGGAGGTTTGGTTAAAGTTCCTGGATAAGTACAATGGCATTTATTTGTGGCAGGACAATTTGATGCTGTATTTAGACTTTCAGGTACAGTCTGACGCTGCTGGTTCCCTGGGGTTTGGTGTCTAGGGGGCGCTGGTGTGTGTAGGGATATCGCGGAGTGGACAGTGAGGTCCGGAGGGAGCACACTCTCCACCAGCAGGCAGCCACAGTCTGCCTGCACGCGTGACCTTGGGGTGCAGGGCAACCCCCCCTCCCAGACAAGCCACAGCTGTCTGTACATCGTTCCACCTATGTCTGACCTTTTGCGGTCTCAGCAGTCAGCGGTGTCCTGTCTGTAACCTTTGTCTCTGAGACCTTTTGTCTCCTTCGTCATACACTGTGCAAGGGGAAAATGACGATGTGGAACAGGTGCCAAAATAGCTTTGTACCACCCCACGATCTCGGGACGGAAGATGTGTAAAGGTCACAGCCCAAAAATGTATCTGCCTGGCTTGCATATTTGTCTCGATAAAAGGAGGCTCCACAGGAATGGCAGCAGCTCGCTTCAGACCACCTGTGCACAGTTCACATGATGATCAACTCCTGTCTTGGGCCTTCACTTCATCTGGCGCTCAACGTCTCTGGGGCTAGACTACTCACTTCGCTCGGCAAGAGCTACAGACGCGTCCTCGCATCCTCTATAAGGATCCCGGTGAGTTAGGGTTAGAAGGAAGGAAGGATGGGGAGTTCCCAGTCTGCCCAACGATTGCAACATCATAAAGATCTCCAATATTTGCTCTCAAAAGCACTGCATCCCTGTTCCTGCAAGGCGCTTAATGCTCTCTTGAAGGAAATTGATGCCCGGTGTCCCTGGTATCCAGAGAGCGGGTCTCTCTGGCTCAGGGACTGGGAGCAAATAGGGCAGACCCTGCATTTGAAGCCACGAGCTTCCGTGCAGGTGCTGCAGGCATGGCACTTCTGCAGAGATGCGGTTCAGTGTTTCGGCCCTGCAGAAGTTAACCCTCTATCTGTTTCTCCCGCCCTGACGAGGGTGGTGGAAGCAGTTCCACCGAGCCTAGCTCCTAGCCAGCCAGTGCCTGAGACGCCAACAGCTGTGGTTTATCAGGGTTCTCAGCAATCCCCTCTTTTATCTCAACCCAACCTTTCTCTTGATGCTTCTTTTCAGCCCTCAAGTCTGCCTGGCTTGGCAGATCCAGCGGTGCCTCTTGAGTCGGTAAAGGCTCAGAAGGCAGATCTCTCTGCTGTAGAGCAAATGGTTAGGGAGGCAAAAGCATCTTCTCAACTAACTGTGGAAGAGCTTGCTGACCTAAACATGCTCAGTCCGGTTGCAAGGGCACCGGATGGTCAGGGCCAACAAGTTAGCTGTTGGGACCCTCTGCCTTACTCTGTAATCAGAAAGGTGGAAAAAGCCGATAATGAATTGGATTTGACCAGTACCTATTCACATGGACTGGAGGAGGGTGAGTCCTCAAACTCTGTATTGATTCCTGATGATTGGAAATCTGTAATGAAAATGCTCTTGAATCCTGGCCAGTTTGTCATTTGGCCTAGTGAATTTCGCCAAGCTGCAGAGCATCAAGCCTGTGTGCAGGCTGCCTGAGACCTTCTCTTTGAACATCTGGCAGGAGAAGGACAGTCTAGTACTGTGGACAGGCAAAGGCAGCTGCCTCAAAAGTGTTTCCCTTTGATTGCCGCATGCTCTTTGCAGGCATTTAAGAAAGTCGTTGTGAACCTGCAAACTCAATTGCTACAGAAACAGTTTCCTGTGATTTCTGCATGCGCCCTACATGCTTTTCAAGCTCATAAAGCTAGTGCGCTTGCAAGTGCTTTGTGTTACTCAGGGAACAGCCAGTAATCGGGTCACCCTCTGACCCAGGACCAAAAAAGGGGGAATGTTTTCCTGCTCAGATAGCCCCACAGCCAGTAACATCTTTGAAAAACCTGTCACCAACGGCAATGCAGGGCTATAACTAATTATGCAGGAAGACACCATTTTTCATTTGCCTGGGGAGGTTCATCTCATTCCCATTTCAGTTCAGGGGGCTCTCTTTTCCCTGGAACTGTGGGTTTGATCCTCCACTAGTCCCACGTAATCTCTGCAAAAGGGACAACTGATTCTGTCTACATAGGCATTCTCAGAACGCAAGCATGTCCACAGACTCTGCTAAGGGGAGTCTGTTGCACAGCTACTTCTTTTCCTGTGCTTACAGATGCGGTCACTCACCGAGAAGCGGGGTTTCTACACCCTTCCAGCTTCTCCTTTAGTTGTGCTTTACAGAAACCAAATTCAAACCTTGAAATCAATGTCTGATTTTTGTCTCAGCGTTGCCGTTAAAGTGGCTAACACAAGAGGCTATTTGGATGGACCAATGACCAATCTCAGGGCGAAAATTAAATGCTTTATATGCCCTGGTAGCAGAGCAACTTGAAGTTCTGACTAGGTCCTGAAATCTGCTCCTGCTTGCCCAATTAGAATTTCCCAAGCCTTTATAAATTACTCACTGCACAATTTCAGCCTCTGCTTGAGTTGCTAGAGACGCAAAAGCCCCTTCAGAGGGTATTTCCATACCGCTAGCCAACACTGACAGGGAGAAGTTTGCCTTTACCATCCCTGTGTTAAACAATGAACGTCCAGAAAAAAATACCAGTGGAAAGTACTGCCACAGGGTATGCTTACCAGTCCGAACTTGTGCCAGTACCTTGTAGATCAAGCCCTGCAACCTTTCCAAGACGAATACCCTGAACTGCTAGCCATTGCACATGTCTGCTGAACTAAATGCCTCACTGGCACGGCACTTTGTAGATGGATCAGACGCTGTTAGATGCTTGCATTTAGCGATCTTAGTCACCACACACACTCCCACAGCAGCACTTTATGTTCCACGAGCACAAAAAGCAACATCACCTCCAAAAAAGTGTATCCATACATCGAAGCAGTAGCAGATCTCATTAGGAAAGGGCGAGCTCGAGCCTTACAGCTCTGTGGTTTCGATCTTGTGCTTATTGCACTGCCCTTTCACCAAGCCGATGTGGTCACCTTAATGCAACATCCTGTACTTTGGCAAATTGCTCTCGCAGTTTGTAAGAGAATTAAATCACCTACGCATTCCTCTCAGACTTCATCAACTCTGCTGCTCAGCATCCATCCCCCAAGTCATCTACTGACAGGGCACGGGGGAGGGGGGGTGCTGGCGTACCAACTTCCTGGAACTGTAGAGTGATGTATTTAAATTCATTCCACCTCAACCTGTTTCCCTCACCTCAATGAGCGGAAATTGCTGTTTTGATTTTAGTTTTCTAAACTTTTCAGCCACACCTTTCAAGTTGGTGCTGGACTCACGATGTGCTTATCAATTGATTCATAGATTGCTGTTGCCTTGAATCATACAGCTAGTAGCTGAAAATTTATTTGAGTATTTTTCTCTTTACTGTGTCTCATCAGCTAGCATGCTGTAAGTTTTTGTGGTAAACCACATCCGTGCACGACCTGCACAGCTTGCGCTCTGCAGGAAATAAGAGGGTGGATGCACCTCTGCGTAACTTAGCAACCAATGCCTTGTTCACAGACTTGGTTGAAAGTTTTGATGTTTTTCATCTAAAGAAAAAAAAAAAGGTTATCTGAACAATTTCGGTTACCTTTACTGCCAGCCCAAGCCCGGCTGGCTCAGTCTCTTAATCTCAAAGCTTGCTCACATTGTTTCATAATCTCAAGCATTTCCACATGCTGTGACTTCCTAGCAACACAGAAGCACTGCAGTTGTGGCCAAGGGACTGTGCATTTTAAGCCATATTCCACAGTCCATTGTCACACTTGAAACCTTTTCAGGGTTCATAACAACTCAAAGCACATGATTGCCTATATTGCTGTTATGGGCCAAGCCCAAAAGCCTAACAATCCTACTCTTTGTTTCTGTTTATTGCTCACATCTTTTCCAGCAATCCTGCATCCAGTGAGTATTTCTCTTACCCACAGTATTCCCTGTAATTCCACAGGTTAAACAAGTGTGGAATGGGCCAATTGCTCCCTGAAGACACTTTTGGAAAACATTAGGAAAGGGGGAGAAGTGTAGGCCCTAGGCAACATCCAGCATAAATTTAACACCTTGCGGTTTTTCATTTAACCATCTTGCTTTTGATTCAGACAGGCTTGCACCAGCAGACAGATGTCTCCACAAGTCCAAGGATCTCGAGCTAACAACTTTTATATCAACAGCTTCCGGATCTGCAGCGGACCTGAAGTGGCGTGGCCTTGTGGCCCCTGACCACCTGGGGGCGGGGCTATGCTTTTATTTCTACCCCTACAAGTCTCTTGTGAGTTCCAGTTCGGTGTGTGCGATTCGCTCTCCAGCATGGTCTGGCATCATGGCCTGACCAGTCCGGCTCCAGTCCAACTCCAAGCTTCCAGCTTCCTATGGGAGATGCCAGTAAAGCGCCATCCGAGAGAGACGTAGTACCACCAAGTGCAGACCAGGAAGAAGTCACTTCAGTCACTTGGGTGACATCAAGCCCTTGTTCCTGTTGGACAATATCAGCTCTCTCGAGCCTGAACAACCAGAGACATTTCCTAACTGACTGCTGCCATATATTTGCCCAGCTTGCTGCCAACTAGCCTGAACAACCAGAGAAATTTCCTCACTGACTGCTGCCATATATTTGCCCAACTTGCTGATGACTCCATGCTGCTTCTTTTCATGCCATGCGTACCTTTGCCAATGAAGGCTTTGACTATCTGTGGAACTGCCTCACTAGCTGATCTCCTGATCTTCTATGACTCAAACACATCTTCACCTATGCTGTAATGTTTCCAACCTACCTTACTTGCTACTATTGATGTATGCAATGTATTCCCACTATTTTACAGCTCTGCAAGTTCGCTCTGATCCCTGCGTCATGGCCCTCTCTGCTTTTGATCAAATTCGGCTTAACACCTTACTCCCGGCATTATAAACTCCTCCAATTTGGAGTATGCCCGGCTTCACACACACAGGGCACGGGTGGACTCGGGACCTATTCTTTTATAGACAGAAAAGGGGAGATGTAGGGATATCGCGTAGTGGACAGTGAGGTCCGGATGGAGCACACTCTCCACCAGCAGGCAGCCACAGTCTGCCTGCACGCGTGACCTTGGGGTGCAGGGCAACCACCCCACCCCCAGACAAGCCACAGAGTTCCACCTATGTCTGACCTTTTGCGGTCTCAGCAGTCAGCGGTGTCCTGTCTGTAACCTTTGTCTCTGAGACCTTTTGTCTCCTTCGTCATACACTGTGCAAGGGGAAAATGACGATGTGGAACAGGTGCCAAAATAGCTTTGTACCACCCCACGATCTCGGGACGGAAGATGTGTAAAGGTCACAGCCCAAAAATGTATCTGCCTGGCGTGCATATTTGTCTCGATAAAAGGAGGCTCCACAGGAATGGTAGCAGCTCACTTCAGACCACCTGTGCGCAGCTCACATGATGATCAACTCCTGTCTTGGGCCTTCACTTCAGGTGTGTTCAGCGGTGGCCCACCAGCTGGCAGGGAAAACCTATCACACATGACCTCACCTTCTTAGAATTTTTTCCTATCGTAGTTGCGGTGCACTTGTGGGCTGATGAGTTCAGGAATCACCGGGTATGCTTCTGGACCGACAAACAAGCGGTTGTCAGTGTCCTGTCAAAGCAATCATCGCTCTCTCCTAGGGTGGCAAACCTGCTCCGGTCCTCTGAGCCCGAATCCCTCTGGGAGAGAGCGTCAGCCTTCCCGTTCTGGGCACCGGGATGCTAGGTGACCTGGAAGTTAAAGTGTGTGAAGAACAGGGCTCAGCGTGCTTGGCGTGGCTTGAGGCATTTCATGGATTGGAAATGTTCGAGGTTCCGATGAACTGTGAGAACCTGAACTGGGTGCTGGGCCCCTTCCAGCAAGTGATGCCATTCCTCGAACGCCACTTTAATGGCAAGGAGTTCACGGTCCCAAATATCATAATTCCGCTAAGCAGAAGTAAGCTGATGGGAGAAGAAAGCGCAGGGGTGAAGCAACTGCTGTGGCCCCTGCCTTTGAGACAGCACGGCCCCTATCGCTCGGTCCGAGGCATCTGCCTTGAGTACAAAGGGGAGTTGTGAGTCCGGATGGTCCAGGATGGGGGCAGAGGTAAAAGCCTCCTTCAGGAGCTCGAAGGCCTCTTGTGCAGCGGGTGTCCACTGGAACACAGCGTCCTTCTGGATCAGGGCGCAGATGGGGGCAACCACATGTGAAAACCCCTGGATGAAGCAGCGGTAGAAGTTGGCAAACCCGGTGATCCGTTGCACCTCCTTTACATCCCGGGGGGGGGGGCTCCAGTCCAGCACCACCTGCATCTTTCGGGGGTCCATCTGGAGGCCTGCAGGGGAGATGATGTAACCCAGGAACTCCATGCGCTTCTGGTGGAACGCACACTTTTCCAGCTTGGCATACAGCCGGTGCTGCCTAGGACGCTGCAGGACCAGACGGACATGCTGGCGATGCTCCTCTGGGGGCATTGAAAATATCAATATGTCATCCAAGTACGTAACCACGAACCGGTCCAGTAAGTCATGAAAAACATCATTTACGAAGTGCTGGAACGTGGCCGGCGCATTGCGCAGTCCAAAGGGTACTTGAAATAGCCATACCGGGTTCGGAACGCTGTTTTCCATTCGTCCCCCTCCCGGATCCGAACCAGGTTTCATGCCTCACGTAGATCCAACTTGGTAAAAACCTTCACACCCTGCAGCCTCTCAATTCAGGAATTAACAGCAAGGGGTAGCGATTCTTGATGGTAACCTGGTTCAGCTTTCGGTAGTCGATACATGGACATAGCCCGCCGTCCTTTTTAACGAAGAAATGGAGGCCCCAGCAGGGGACGTGGAGGGGTGAATGAGCCCCCTGGCAAGGTTGTCGTCTAGGTACTCTCGAAGGGCCCCTAGCTCAGGAGCCGACAGGGCATAAATGTGGCCGAAGGGAATCTATGCTCCCAGATGCAAGTCAATAGGGCAATCGTAAGTCCGGTAAGGTGACAATGTGGAATTACTGCCTGGGTCCAGCACGTTTCCTCTGCACATAAATCTTCCAGGCAGCAGCAGAGCGAGCATCGAGTGCTTGACGTGTGAGGGAAAGGAAAAATCCGCACGCTGTTTCTTTCTAACTAAACAGCCTTTATTTACATCAGCAGGTAAAACAACAAACAACTCCATCGGAGTTCGGACACATGGCGTGTGTCTCTCTCCTGGTCAAAAGCGAAAGTGTCTCACAAAGACAAAGAAACTTCAGCTTCTGTTTACGTAGGAAGCTCCTCCCCAGATGTAGGACATTGTTGGGTTGAAATAACGACAGACGAGTAGCAGGTGTCATGTGAGAGGCATCTCTCGAGCAAGTCCCAAGAAGAAGCTTTTATTGAATATTACAAACATTGCCACAGGTGCGCTCGTTGCTGATTGGTTGACACAAGTACAAAGCAAAGGTTACATATAGACATTAATCACCAATAGATTAAAGGCTGGGAAAGTGAGCACAGAACTAGACAGGCATGAAACCTCCTAATTAAATTATAACTAGTGATTGATTCATGACATGAAAGAACATAACAATTGCGTTCCGTAGATGTGGTCAACTATGCATTAAGAACAGGTCAAGGTACACTGTTTCATGAACTCAATGGGAACTGATCAGAACATTCTCAGACTCATGTGCAGAGGCAAAAACTTCCCAGCATCTCCCCCTTTCTTTTCTTATTTGCGAGGTGTTCTGGGTGAATAAGACAAAAATACTTCGGGATACGTGGTATGCCAGCGCATGCCCGAAATAAGTTCGCCAGGGTTGACTGGACAAAAATACTTCGGGATACGTGGTATGCCAGCGCATGCCCGAAATAAGTCCGTCCACATGTCCCCTAATGTTTACTGTTGGTGCTGCCATTTCGCAAAGTAGGCAGCAATTATTTTATTGGGTGGCTGAGGGGGAGAGAGAAGCCGAGACAAAAGACTTATGAGGCCAGGAATGCATTGGAGGAAGCAACATAGCAAGATTAATATACATATTATGACAATGGCATATTGAAAGAGATTACGAAGCCAAGTCAGGTTTGGCAACCAAGCGGTAAGCCACTGGGTGAAAGAATCCCAGAGGCCAGAAAATCCAACGTCCTGTTTAATGTGGTGTGTAAGATTTTGCAAATGAGAGATTTGGCTTTGAATGGCTTTGGAATTATCAGTAATATTGAAACAACACATGTCAGCCACTTGTTCACAGCCATAATGATGAAGCATCAATAAATAATCGATAGCAGCGCGGTTTTGCAGAAGGCCATGCTGGAGTTCACTCTGTTCTTTATTCAAAAGGTGAAGAGCTTGAGAAGTATAATTCAGGGCTTTTGCTGCAGAACAAGCTAAAGAGTTTATGTTCCTACTATTGCGTACAGCCAATCCAGGGACTCCTAGGAGAGAAACAGCTAAAGAGATATATTCAGACCTACTGGGAAGAGAAATTGAATTGTCACAATCGTTAGTCAATTCAATAGAGCGGCGATATCGAGAGCGGGTCAAATGATGCTTTTTGGGTAATACGATGGACAAATGGCTTAAGCAACAGGGTGTTCCATGGCTGATGTTTGCTGGAATGTAATTAAATGTATAGCCAGGACACGACCAGAACCAGCCCGCAGGTAGTTCTGTGTATTTATATACATAAGAAATATTTACATAATTAGAGCAGTGGAAATTATCCTCGCCCATTTTTACACAGTTGGTTTTTGTGCAATTTACCATACGGGCGCAAGTGACATTAAAAGAAGCCACGTATGGGGTCAATAAGTCAATGGCCAGAGGTGGGCGTCGGCGCACTTGGTTACCCCAGACATAGTAACCAGAATAACCAAGGGTGCGGAGAGAATCATTTTCGGGTAGGGATGAGAAAAACCAGGTATCATTTTGTATATCAAAAGGGTCATGGCAAACAGGGATAAGGCAGGAGCCAAGGATTTCACCTATTGATACCTGTTGGGTTAGGCAAAAGGAAGAAATATTGAGCGTCTTTGCAAAAGATTCCCACACATTTGTTGGTGTGTAGTTATCGCTATTAGGAGCAGAAGCAGAAAGAGGCAAAAACAAAACGCTGAAAATGAGCACTATCATGGAATTAAGATTAAGGCAGGAGATAATACACAGAAGCAAATTCTCAGGGGTTGCTTCAAGCTGCTTTTCCTTTCTAAGCTGTTCAGCCTGAAATGAGAGTGATTTTATTTGGCCCCACGTCACTGGTCCATTACGATTTCCCTGCTTGCGAGTCCTGGGGGGGCTGGACGCCGCATCCTGGGCGATCTGTAGTTTGCGGTCGAACTGCGGTATCGGATCCGGTAGGGTCTGTCGCCACGCCATGGTATAGGCGGATGCAGCGTGCGGGAACCCAGCGAGCACCCTGTGGAGTAGAAACTGCAGCGTAACCCTTTCCCCAGGTGATCAGTTTTACAGGTTCACTCCATTCATTGGAGGGTAATATCTTATAGCGGACCAGTGGGGCTGGAAGTATCTCTGTTTGCTGAAAATGCTTCTGGAGGCGAGTATAAGATTGATGATCCTGTATGGAAACATTCAAATGATTGAGAGTAAAGAGAACACTAGCCAGCCAACCAGCCTTCCTTTTCAGAGAGCGAGGCTGGGACTCCGGCCTTCTTTTCTTGTCGAATCAAGGCAGTTTTTAAAGTGCGATTGGCACGTTCAACAATCGCTTGGCCTTGAGAATTATAGGGGATGCCGAAAAAGTGGTGAATATTCCAAGTTTCACAGAACTGAGCAAAGGTTTTTGCACAGTACGCTGGGGCATTGTCAGTTTTCAAGGAATGAGGTTTGCCCATGACTGACATGGTACGAACAAGATGATTGCAAACATGTTTAACCTGTTCTCCCCTTTGAGGGTGTCCCAAATAAAGCCAGAGAACGTATCAATGCAAACATGTATGAACTTCCAAGGTGAAAAGGGGGCGAAGTGAGTTACATCCATTTGCCACAACTGGTTGGCTTCCAGCCCACGGGGGTTAACTCCAGGGCTGGGGTGGCCAATCTGATTAGAGCATTGAGGGCATTGTTGGATAATTGCACGAGCCGCTTCCAACGGAATTTGGAATTGGCGGCTAAGAGCCTTCGCATTCTGATGATGGAAAGCATGACTTTCAATGGGGGAAACAGGCAAAGCCCTAAGCAAAGAATCTGCTTTTGCATTGCCATCAGTGAGAAAGCCTGGGAAGGGTTGGTGAGAACGAATGTGCACCACAAATAGTGGGTGGGAGCGATTAGAGAGAAGCAATTGTAAGGACAGGAAAAGGCTCAATAAGTTGTCATCCAATAAGGGACTTACATAGCTGCCCTGTAAACGAGTTATGACATTTGCAACATAAAGACTGTCCACTACCAAATTAAAGGGCTGTGAGGAGAAGTGGTGCAGTGCTTTAACAGCAGCTGCTAACTCAGAACACTGGGCAGACTTTTGTGGGAGAGTGTAGAGGCTGTGCCATTCCCCATTTTGTTGCCAAGCAACCACCCCCCTGGAGGGGGCTCCGTCAGTAAAAACAGTAGGGGCATCCAAAGGGACAGGAGACAATATGGAAGAGAAAGATAGGGAAAATTGTCTACTCATTTGCAGGCGAGGGTCGGCTGGGATATGGCAATCCGTTAGGCCAACAAAATAAGCTAAAGCGCACGGCAAATCCATGCTAGTGGAAAGAACAGTCTCCCATTGCTCAAGGGGCATGGGCACAATAATTTGGTGACAATCGGTGCCAAAAAGGCTTTTGCATTGACGGCGTCCCTTGCTGATGAGCTGAGCAAGGAGATCCACTAAAGGAGTCACCATGTTCTTCGGCGTTTGATGTAAATACAGCCATTCAATTATATGAACTTTCGATCGGCCTAACTGAATAAGGGCCGCAAAAGGTTGGACAGAATCTGTCATTATGACTACATCGGGCAAGACATTAAGAATTGCTCGATCAACCGAGTGGAGACGCATAATTTCCTTTAACTGGGCAACAGTCTTCTGTTGAGAGGAGGTCAAGGTGATTTGCTCACCAGGAGATTGATGGCCTTTTAAGGCTGAAAAAAGCAGTCGTAAAACTTCAAGAGGGATTTTAAAATAAGGTCTTATCCAATTGATGTTGCCCAGCAATTGCTGCAGCTGGACATATTTCATTGTTTTTGGAACATGAAGTTCAGGGACTATAGGAATAGAATAGCTAGCTATCATTTTGTGTCCCAAATAATGGAAGGGAGAGGATTCCTGAACTTTTTCTGGGGCAATTTTCAAACCATAAAGTGACAAACAGGCTATCATATCATGTTTCCATTGAGGGGGAAGGCGTGGCCCACTGATAAGCACGTCATCCATATAATGGTAAATTGAGAGGTGTGGATACTGCAAACGAAAAGGCTGAAGGGCTTGATTCACATAATATTGGCACATGGTGGGGGAATTCAACATTCCTTGTGGTAGGACTTTCCATTGATACCGTTCCATGGGTTGGCTGTTATTTAACACAGGAACAGTGAAAGCAAAGAATTTACGATCCTTCTCCTGTAGGGGAATGGAGAAGAAACAATCTTGCAAATCTATTATAGCCAATTGATAAGAATGTGGGATCACATTTGGATTAGGCAGACCACACTGCAAAGGCCCCATGGGTTCAAGGATTTCATTTATTTTCCTTAAATCCTGGAGAAATCTCCATTTTCCACTCTTCTTTTTTATGATGAAGATGGGAGTGTTATAGGGGCTAACTGTGGACTCGATATGGTCAGCCGATAATTGTTGATTCACCAATTCTTTTAAAGCAAGTAGCTTTTCCCCCGTTATGGGCCATTGTTCTACCCATACCGGGGTGGTTGATTTCCAGTTGAGGGGGAGTGCAAGCTTACTCATTAAATTGAATGGTAGCCTGTAATTGTTGTAGTAAGTCTCTGCCCCACAGATTGAGGTGGATTTTCAGAACACAGGGCTGGATATATGCAATGGTTTCAGAGCTATCAGGCAAAGAAACAGGCAGCCACTGTACGCTTTTGGAAGAGGTTTGAGGTCCACCTACACCCCAAACTGCAGAGGCAGACTCAAGGGGCCACGTGGGGTCCCAGCAACTACTGGAAATTACAGAAATGTCCGCGCCCGTGTCAATCAAGCCTTCCAGAACCTTGCCATTGATTTTATACTTACGAAGAAGTTTCTGATGACCAATCCGCTGGATTACAGCTAACAGCTGTGGAGAAAAAGGAGAGAGCTCGTGCAAATTACTATCAATAATAGAAACAGTAGGGTGAGAAGGGAGCACCACCAAATGCGTCCAGGACTCACCCTTCTTTAACTGCATGGGCATATGGCTCCAAAGTTGAACCATTATTGTGCATTTTTTGGAAGGTTTAGCCTTGTTGGCATCACCATTCCTGTTTGCCCCCCCCCCGCCAGGGGCTCAGCATTGTTTAGCGAAACAATCCTTTATTACATAAGAGGATTTTAGACCAGAATCAGTAATGGCTTTCCTTAATTCTCTCATTACAGAATAAGGAAGCGTCTCGTACAATACCTGCTGTTGAGCAGTTCCTGGGTTTGTAAAGGTGATAGGGAAAGCAGATGGCATTTCACCAGCCCATTCAGACTCTTTCTCTAAGGACAGGAGCCCTTTTTGCCTAGCCAGAGAAAGCGCAGTGCGCACAGCTCCTGTAGAGCATGCAGGGGCTGTGGCAGGCGAAGGAGGGATGGGGGGGAGGATGTGGGCTGAGACGGTTGAGGTGTAGGGAGGGGTTGGCAGGGTTGCGAAGGAGGCAAAAGCTTTGGGTAAGGTGGGGGATTGTCTGCAATGGCTAGAAGGGCAGGGGCCGAAGGAGATGCCTGAGGTCCTAATTTAGCAAAGGCATCTGCACATTTCTGCCAAGTGAGCAGACAATGAATCGGAGCCCTCGGTTCTGCAAAGAGGGTTTTTCCGATCTTCTGCCAAGTTTCTATCCCCAAAGAACCTGTTTCAGGGTACCAGGGGCACTGGCAAGCAATCTCACATAACAACCTTTCAACTTCTTTTAAAGAAATATGAGCACCCGCCACCCGCTGTCTTAATGAGATGGAGCAATTCCTTGGCATGCTCCTTTTGGAATTTAGTCAATTCCCCCCCCATACTCACGAAATAGCGCGCTGAGACTTTTCCAGTCGAATGAAGTATGAGGCTGCGTAAAGGGATCTGGCATGTCGGGGTCACCAGATGTTGGGTTGAAATAACGACAGACGAGTAGCAGGTGTCATGTGAGAGGCATCTCTCGAGCAAGTCCCAAGAAGAAGCTTTTATTGAATATTACAAACATTGCCACAGGTGCGCTCGTTGCTGATTGGTTGACACAAGTACAAAGCAAAGGTTACATATAGGCATTAATCACCAATAGATTAAAGGCTGGGAAAGGGAGCACAGAACTAGACAGGCATGAAACCTCCTAATTAAATTATAACTAGTGATTGATTCATGACATGAAAGAACATAACAATCGCGTTCCATAGATGTGGTCAACTATGCATTAAGAACAGGTCAAGGTACACTGTTTCATGAACTCAATGGGAACTGATCAGAACATTCTCAGACTCATGTGCAGAGGCAAAAACTTCCCAGCAGGACATACAGAAGGTTAACCCTATAACCACCACACCCCCTCTTGCCCTGCATCTGGGGGAAATAAGCACCACCACTTACCCCAAACACAGACCTTCACAGAACTCCCCATGACACGGAAAGGTTAACGGTTTTGTAAAACCATCAGCAAGGTTCCAGGCACTGGGACAGTATTTCAATTCAACTAATCCGGCCTGAACGCTCTGGCACACATTCTGGAAACTGATGTCTAGGTGCTTGGTCTTGGCCTTAAACTGCCCAGATTCTGCCAGCTTCAGACAGGGTTGATTGTCTTCCAAAACAGTGACAGGCGAACAACTCTCTCCGCAGATCTCTTGAACCAAGCACACATAGAATTCCAATTCCCTGCAAATCTCAGAAAGCGCACTGAGCTCGGCCTCAGTAGATGAGAGCGCTATGAGACTTTGCTTCCGGGACCTCCACCCAACCAAAGAGTTCCCGAATTTCACCACCATACTGGACACGGACTTCCTATCCGCCAGATTCGCCCAATCGCTGTCCACCCAGCACGTCAGCTTGACGTCGCCCTTGGCTGACAGCTTAAGGCAGAAGTCTTTGGTATCTTGTAGGTAACGCAGCACCCATTTGATACCATTCCAGGCTTGCACACTTGGGCTTGAAGCTTCCCGGCTGAGCAAATTGATGGCAAACGCTATGTCAGGTCTGCTTCACTGGGACAGATATAATAGGCTACCCAGAGCTGACTGAAAGAGCTCAGTATTTTCGAATGCAGCACGTTCTACTCGCTGACTGTCTTTCACGTTGCTAGTCTCCATGGGTGTCCTAACTCCTGCACACTCAGACATTCGGAGCTTCTCAAGCAGTTGCTCAATCTTACCCTTCTGACTGAGCAAAAAGCTTCCATCTTCAGTTCGAGCTACCTCCATGCCCAAGTATGTCCTGACTGCTCCCAGGTGTTTGAGCTTGAACCATTTACCAAGCTATTTGGCAAACTTCTCTTTTTTTAAAAATAATTTTTATTAACCGACCAATCAAATCACATCACATAAATTCCGAATTACAAAGCCGAATTTTAAATTTTTTGTTGGGGGTACCCATATTTCAAGTTCCGAAGGGGATTCCAATCATCTTCTTACTGCTGCGTTAATATTCACAAATCTGTCCAAATAATGTTCATATTTCTGTCCAGTCCTATCTTGCTGTTCCCACGTCTCATCTTATTCATATATTTTTCTTTTTTCTTTGTGATCTCTTCTGATAATCTCCTTAAGCAAGTAAACACCAGTTATAATCCTGTGTGAATTTTTCCGTTCATCCAATCACCATATCGAGATGGTTTCCATATATCATCACTTCCATAAATAAAAGCACTCTTTCCATCATTAATCTTCGCAAATCTGTCGCCTTCTTTTAGTCCTCTGAAGAGGCTCGCCCGCAATATGAAAGCAGATCCATTCCTCCTCCCAGACACAAGTCTTTCGACAGAACTTGCCAAGATGGCGACGCTGTTTTTTACTGCGTCATCCCAAAGCTCTTATACTTTCCACGATCTCCTTAAAACATGCTTTTGGTTAGAAAATTATCTCCACACAGTCTTAAATCATCAGCTTAGGTCATTTAAGCAGCATTTCTGACTTATGTGGGGGGGATTCTTGGTTAATCACATAGAGAAAAGAAAGGAAAGTTTCCCCTCCAATCCAGTCCCGTTGCCGACATACCGAGCCTTGGTGTGTCTTCTCATGATATATTCCTGTTTATCCGACCCTTCTTCTTTATCAGAGATCTCTTCAATTAGCAGTCTTTACTCCCCATTCTTCCTTGAAATATGTGCATTAGCTTCCTCCTAATTGTTTCTTTTGAAGTTGCTGCAGCTAGAGGCGCAAATCAGAGACAGCGTCCAGGAGAGCCGAAGTCCACACAAGGGCTTTCTGCCTAGTGCCCCCACCCCCTCGAGTTCGGGGGTGGTATAGGGCACAGCAGGCAAGGGCAGTCCCCCCCACTCACTTGGGGGGGCCGGGAGGCTGCTTACTCCCATCACAGCCTCTTAATTACCTCGTGTGGGTCGGAGAGATGTTATTGTCGGCCATCTTCCAATGCGCCCCTAGTGGCACCCCCTCTCTTTGGCAAACTTCTCTACATGTTTACCTGTCTGGGCCATGTACAGTAGATCATCCACAAAAACCAGGACCGCCTCCTGTGTCTCTCCTGACCCTTTAAGGTACAGGCAGCTATCAGCAACACTTCTCTTGAAACCTAACTGCTCTAAGGCTTTATTCAGACACATGTTCCAATTTCTGGCAGATTGACCACAAATCATAAATCGATTTATGCAACCTCCAAACGATGCCTTGCCCCTTGGCCTCAAACCCTGGAGGAGGAAGCATGTACAACTCCTCCTGGAGGTCTGAGTTCAAGTAGGCGATATCTGTTAGGATATTTCCGTTCCACCTTAAAAAGGGGACAGGCTGTTGTGAGTCACAGCCTACGTATTTCCTGCTCACAGGAAGTTTCTGTTTTTGTATATAGCTGTTGTCTTCTCTCTGTGCCGAGACACGCAGGCAGGCAGTCATGTTTTTTCCTTTGTTCTGACCAACGCTGAATAAAGTTGTAAATAATGCTCTCCTGAGTGCATCTTTCATTGTGCGAACTCTGCAAAGGGCATGCACTAGTTCTTGGAATGTGGAATACTGTTTCTGAGGCTTGTGTCGCTAATTGACTGATACTGCGTTTCTACGGGAGATCGATGGATCGTCCGGAGACGGCGTGGGGGCATGATGAGCTTTGTCTCCCTGGCAATATCCCAACATCAAAGTGGTTCACCTTCCAACCTCTTTGTGCAGCAACAGCTAAGAGCATGCACAGAGTTTCACTTCTGGAAGTAGGAGCATACACCTCAGTGTAATGCATCCCCTTCCGCTGTGTGAACCCTCTCGCAACTAGCCTAGCCTTGTACTGTGGTTCTCCAGATTCTGTGGGTTTAAGGCGATAAACCCACCTGCCGCTCACAGCCTGTTTGCCAGCTGGCAACGTTGTGAGGGAGAACACACCTAGAGACTCCATTGAGCTCATCTCCTTCTGCATCGCCTCATGCCATTTGCTGGCTTCTTCCTGAGGCAGTTTCTAAACATCCTCAAAGGTTTCAGGTTCACACTGAGCCACACCAACCCACACACTTGTGGCCTCAAACCTGTCAGGTGGTTTACCCTTTGTGGTTCGGGTTAAACTCCTCAGTGTGAGCTCTGGTACCCCCTTCTGACCCACTAGGGCCAACCAGACTATCCCCAGTGTCAGAGAACTCTCCCTCTGACCTGCTGCATCTTTTGAACCTTACAGCTGGACCTGTGGGTGAGGATGGCTCACTCTTTGGCTCAGACTTGACAGTAGCCTTTGGAGGGGTTCTGGGCCGCTCCTGCTTTGGACTCTGTTGCTCTGGACTCTGTTCCTCAGCAACAGGATCAGTTCCCACCTCCACCTCCTCATCTGAGTCAAGAAACTGTTCTGAAAGAACATAGAATCATAGAATCATAGAGTTGGAAGAGACCACAAGGGCCATCGAGACCAACCCCCTGCCAAGCAGGAAACACCATCAGAGCACTCCTGACATATGGTTGTCAAGCCTCTGCTTAAAGACCTCCAAAGAAGGAGACTCCACCACACTCCTTGGCAGCAAATTCCACTGTTGAACAGCTCTTACTGTCAGGAAGTTCTTCCTAATGTTTAGGTGGAATCTTCTTTCTTGTAGTTTGGATCCATTGCTCCGTGTCCGCTTCTCTGGAGCAGCAGAAAACAACCTTTCTCCCTCCTCTATGTGACATCGTTTTATATATTTTGTTACGGTAAAATCTGGGTGCGGGGCTACTCTGCCACCCAGCTTGTTGGACTAAGTCCGCGGGTCCCTGCGGAGGAAAATGAGCTCAGCTGGAGACAGGAGCAAGCAGCAGAAGATCCAAGTTTATTGCGCAACAGGTTCAAGGTGAAATTGAACAGCGAGAAAGGGGTGACATGAACTTTTAAAACTTCCCTCCATGTCCCAGAATACAGTGCAAAATACATCATAGTTACATCATGAATACATTAAAGAGAGGTTGGGTTACACGGATTACATCATGAATACATTAAAGAGAGGTTGGGTTACACCGGATTAACATATAGAGGAGGGAGGGGGAATATGCAGAGCTGGAGATATGCGCAGATAAGCACTTCCTGAGTACCGGTGATGAGAAGACAATGGTCCATGTATGCATAGTCTGCCACCTGGCATTGCCCGGAGGAAAGGCTTGGCAGAGCGATTTGACCGGATTAGGGTCTTCCAGAGTACGTGACACCTCGCTCGAGGGATCATGGAGGCAGGGGAGGTGTCATGGAGTCCTGAAGAGACTGAGCCGATCGACACCAAAAGCAAGGAAATCGGAGTTGTGGTTGATTTTATACAAATTTCTAAAGATTTTTAGTCCTTTTTAGTCCATTTTATATTGGTAATTGAAGTCGGAAACAAAATAGATACATTGTAACGAGATTTGACACTTTTATGAGTTCACAAGTTTCGGTTCCATTGTTCTCCCAGCGGGGAGCCGTCAGCAGCTTGTCAAGAGGTTAAATGAGGCGTGCAGGAGCTCGCTGAGCTAGCTCTTCAAGGCAAATGCATGGTTCTGATTGGGTAGAACGCAGCCATTGAAAGGAATAGGGAATTACAGCTTCGTATGGTCAACCCATAATAGATAGAGCGGGAAAGAGGCATAAGAATTTGGGCTTATTTCGCTCGTAATAGCGGATTGGTGTAGGAAAGGGAAAGGCATTTTATTCATGGGGCTTGGGGTAGAGTGTGGTGCTTGTGTAACGGTGTGGGGGCTGAGGGGTCCACGTGTGGCTGGGTGCCCTTGAGGTCATTGCCTCGGACCCTCTGGTGACCGGCGGAAGGGTGAAGGAAGGCATGCCCCCCCTTCCGTATCATATTTGAACATGGCTATCATATCACCCCTTAACCTTCTCTTCTCCAGGCTAAACATGCCCAGCTCCCTTAGCCGTTCTTCATAAGGCATCGTTTCCAGGCCTTTGACCATTTTGGTTGCCCTCCTCTGGACACGTTCCAGTTTGTCAGTGTCCTTCTTGAACTGTGGTGCCCAGAACTGGACACAGTACTCCAGGTGATGTCTGACCAGAGCAGAATACAGTGGCACTATTACTTTCTTAGATCTAGATGCTATACTCCTATTGATGCAGCCCAGAATTGCATTGGCTTTTTTAGCTGCCGCGTTACACTGTTGGCTCATGTCAAGTTTGTGGTCAACCAAGACTCCTAGATCCTTTTCACATGTACTGCTCTCAAGCCAGGTGTCACCCATCTTGTATTTGTGCCCCTCATTTTTTTTGCCCAAGTGCAATACTTTACATTTCTCCCTGTTAAAATTCATCTTGTTTCTTTTGGCCCAGTTCTCTAATCTGTCAAGGTCGTTTTGAAGTGTGATCCTGTCCTCTGGGGTGTTAGCCACCCCTCCCAGTTTGGTGTCATCTGCAAATTTGATCAGGATGCCCTTGAGTCCATCATCCAAGTCGTTGATAAAGATGTTGAATAAGACAGAACCCTGTGGCACCCCACTAGTCACTCTTCTCCAGGATGAAGAGGAACCATTGATGAGCACCCTTTGGGTTTGGTCAGTCAGCCAGTTACAAATCCACTGAGTGGTAGCATAGTCAAGACCGCATTTTACCAGCTTCTTTACATCTGGGTTACCATGTATGCGTGTCCACCCACTTTGCTCACAAAACTCAGCAATGCTGCTCACTAGCAGCCGGGACTGGTTGCCATCAGGATATGCAAACTGCCACCCCTTGGTGCCTGGTTCATACCCTACAAAGATCATCTTCCTGGACCTTGGGCCACCCTTTCTGCGTTTGGCCTTTGAGATGAGGACCCAAGCCTCACAGCCAAAAACGCGTAAGAAATGCACCTTGGGCTTCTTACCGTGCAGCAGAAAATAGGGCGTGTCCCCTACAGCAGAATTAAACACACGGTTCTGCGTGAACGCACCAGCCTTCCAAGCTTCACTCCAAAAGCGTTGTGGGAGTCATGCGTCAAACAGCATGGCAGCCACAGCCTCCTGCAGTGTTCTGTTCTTACGTTCAGCAATACCATTTTGTTCAGGACTGTGTGGTGCTGTCAACCTGTGACTGATTCCCTTCTGGCGGAAGAAATTCGGCAGCGCAGACCCAGTAAACTCCTCCCCTCTATCGCTCTGAAAGCTAATCAATTTTGTAGACTATTTCAATTCTACCGCTGTGATCCAGTCTTTAATCAATGCAGCAGCTTCCCCTTTGCAAAAAACCAAGAGTTCTTCGAAAAATCATCCACCAAAAGCAAAACGTATTTGGACCCACCCAGACTGGCTACTGACATCGGGCCACACAAATCTGCATGGACTAGCTCAAAGGGCTTGCTTGTCTCTCTGCTAGACTTGGGATATGAGCATGTTTTTACCTTGGATTGCTTACAGGCTCTGCAATCTAAAAAATTATCACATCCCTTTAATTTACACCCCTCTGTACACTCTGGGGCCTTCTTGACATAATTCCAACACGAATACACCTGTCTGCTATGCCATAAGTGGGCACACCCATCATGTGGCGGGACATTTGCGCACTGCACCTGTGTTACCTCAGGGGGTCATCAACTGCAATAGGCATCTCAACCACGAACAGCCTATTCTTGCATTCAACACTGAACAGGTGTTTCCCATCCCTGGAAAGAGAACACATGCTATTTTCAAAACAGACACGGTAACTGTCAGCTACCAAAGCAGATACAGATAAAAGACAGTTGGTAATTTCTGGAACCACAAAAGCCTGAACCTCATGGTCCAGGAATGAACAGTACAGAGTCCCTGACTGAGTCAGTGGGCGTCTGCTTCCATCTGCCAGCAATGCAAATCTCCCACTTTGCACAGTCTTGCACTTCCGAAGAAGCCCAGCAGATGGCACTAGAGTGTACGTCGCACCTGTGTCAACAATAAAGGAGAGGCTGGCTTCCTGTTTGGATGCTTTCACTACTGCCATCAAAGCAGCTAGATGATACAACAATGTTTTCTCCTTGTTTTCCCCTCACATGGAGCCTTTGGCAACCTTCCCATGCCTCTGCGCCTGGGAACTGTCTCTAATCTGCATTCCTTTCCGGCTGACCTTGGGTTCCTGAGCCTCTGCAGGAAAATCTCTCACGAGATGTGACATGGACCCACAGTGAAAACAGTGTTTGGAAACAAAGGCTTTTACAGAGCTCTCATTGCTTCTCCCTGCACCCCCACTCCTGGGTGCACAGCCTCCAGAGGAACAGCCTGCGTCTGCTTTCCTCTCAGCTCTATGCCTCCTTTCCTGTCCATCCCATGGATGTGTCGAAGCGTAGAAACAGCTTCCAGGAATGTGGCCTTCAGCCTCCACCGGGCCTTTGGCCCCCTCTCGGTCCTTGGCTCCCCTGTGGCTTTGCACGCCCTCTCCAGTGCCTGCCAAGCGACCAGGGCCTTCTTGATACCCTCAAGATGAGGCAACATCAAAGCGTCCACACTCAGCCTTAGCATGCTCAGCACACTCTGATCCCTTTCCAGAGCAGCTGCCACGTCTGCCTCAGTAGCACTCTCAGCAGCCTGGGGCGATGGGGTTTGCATGCATTGCCAGAGCTGTTGTCCCAACATCCAGTACTCCATCCTTATGGACCACTCCTCCCAATTGGGGCCAGTCAGCCTTTCAAAAGGCACGGTGAAAGCCTCTTGAGCTTGAGCCATCTTCCTGGGGCTATAAGCTTACTCACGCTTTCTGCTGGCCGGTGCTTCAAAGATGCTTCCTGCAGCAAGCTCCGCTTTCACCAGCGAAATCACGACTGCCTCAGCTTCAGGCAAGATCTCAGAGCTGGACTTTGCTTTGTCCCCTTCTCACACTCAGCACAAAATGTAGGCTGGAATCTTCCATGACCCATAACCTGTGGAATTACTACCTGGGTCCGGCACGTTTCCTCTGTGCATAAATCTTCCAGGCAGCAGCAGAGTGAGCAGCAAGTGCTTGACGTGTGAGGGAAAGGAAAAATCCGCACGCTGTTTCTTTCTAACTAAACAGCCTTTATTTACATCAGCAGGTAAAACAACAAACAACTCCATCGGAGTTCGGACACATGGCGTGTGTCTCTCTCCCGGTCAAAAGCGAAAGTGTCTCACACAGACAAAGAAACTTCAGCTTCCGTTTACGTAGGAAGATCCTCCCCAGATGTAGGACATACAGAAGGTTAACCCTATAACCAGCACAGGCAGCACCTCAGCCCCTTCTCAAATACGTTCGTCCAATCCCGGTAGTGCTCTGGTATTAGGCCGGCCTTCGGTGGTCCTGCCCCGTCTGGGGCAGTCCCATACAAAGTGGAAGAACTGGGGCCGGTTGGTGGGGCTGCACAGGTTCCTGCTGCAATGGAGGCAACATGGGGGGCTGGGCACAGACGTCGTGGCAGAAAGATGACGGGAAAGACAGCATCCATTGTGCCCAGGAAATGGCGGGGTCGTGCTGGACCAACTAGAGGCTCCCACTGGAAAATGTGGGGTCTGGGCCAGCTCAAATGTTAGCAGTTCCTGGTGCCAGGGTGCCACCAACATGGCCAGTGAGCAGGTTTCATGGGTAATGGGTCCCAATGTGAGGGGGGGGGGGTCCCGTCCAGGCCCACCACTGGAACAGGTGCTGCTTTTACCACAGATGGTACCTGGTACTTCTCAGTGAAACTGATGTCCATGAAGACACCAGAGGCTCCAGAGTCAATCATTGCCTCCAGGACCAGCATGCCCCCCTGGGGAAGGAGAATGCGGATAGGGACCAGGAAATGGGGTGCGCAGCGACTGGACCCTGGCTGAGCCCCTCCTAGCACAGCCAGGGCTTATTGTTTCCCGGCATGAACCTCTTTGCTGGGCACCCTGCCACAAAATGGCCTCCCTCTCTGCAGTACAAGCACAGGCCAAGGGCCCGCCTCCGGCTCTCCTCTTGGCTGGAGAGAGAGCGGTGGGCCACACCTACTTGCATGCGCTCCTCAAGCCCCACCTCCGCCTTGGGCTCTGGGGGCCCCCTCGAGCGGTGCTCGGAATCCCTCTCGGACAGGCGCGCATCAATGTTAATACAAAGTGTGATAAAGTCTGTCAGGGCTGCTGGGGGGGTCACTTGTGCCAATTCATCCTTGAGGTGTGGATGAAGTCCTTGGCAGAAGTGGAACCAACGGGAAGCTTCATTCCACAGGGTGTCTGCAGCCCACTGACGGAATTCTGCGGCATACTCAGTAACCAAGCAAAGCGCCCTGCCGGAGGTTCTGCAGGGCCAACTCAGCAGTCTGGACGCAGTTTGGCTCCCCGAACATGCCCTCCAGGGTGATGATAAAGTCATCCACTTTCCCCAGCAGGGGGTCATCGGCCTCAAGATACGGAGTGACCCAGTGCCGTACCTGCGAGCAGGCTAACCATGAAGCACACCCAGCTCTGTGGAGTGGGAAAGTGCTGTGCAGGTGGCAAACATCAGCCAGCACTGGTTTACGAAACCCTGAAGAGCCCCACGCTCTCCCTGAACCTTTCCGGCAATGGGACGACGGGGGCACGTCGAGCCAGGGCCACAGCCGGGACTGCTCAAAGCTCTTGAACCTCCACCTGGAGCATAGCTACCTCTGTGTGAAGCTTCTGCAGCACCGTGGTGAGATCTGTAGACAGGGCACCGTCCATCTTGCACCCCAGCTGGGACATAGATTGGCCACAGCAAACTGTCACGGTCTGGGTTACAGGCAGTCGGAGTCCCAGCTTGGTACGTCAGGACTGGGGTAGAGGTCAGGAATCAGCAGTCCAGGGGTCAGGGAGCCAAGACTCCAAGAATCAGGATACCAGGAGTAAGGAAGCCAAAGCACAGCTAGGTGGCTACCATATTGCTGTGGCAAAGAGCCAAGGCAAAATGCTGGTTTTATATACCCCTCCCGGCCCTTGCCATCAGGTGCTACGAGTCTCCTGTCAGGCCTCACCTGTGCGACCACGCCTTGCCCTTCTAGGCCAAACGCAGGAAGGCCCCAGTCCTGAGAGGCCCTACCAGTCACAGGGCCCGGCTCCTGCACGCACTCCTGACAGACTGCTCCAAAAACTCCAAAAGGTCTAAAATGCAGGTGCATGAATGTAGGAATAACGGGGATGACAGGAGGTTGGATGCCGGTGAGCTGTGCAGAAGCACGCCAGCAAGCGTGCTCCAAACAAGCTGCCGGCTAGCTCTGTAGAGGCTCTGTTGGGTGTAGTGAAGGGTTAACCTTTCTGTGTCTCGAGGCTGAGAGGAGGCGCTTACAAGGGAAGTAAGCCAGGACGTGACGAAAGCAGCTTGGAATGCTGTGAGCTGAGTGAAGAGTGAAAGCAGCTTTGTTACGCAGCTGCACATTGAGAGAGGAGGACGCAGAGAAAATGCAGCTACAATCTGATGGTCTTTATGAATTGTAAATATGCTACTTTTGAGCAAATAAAGTGATATTAGGACAGAAGAAACATGTGGGACTTGTTTTACTGCCCTTTCAACACGGACGCTGTGCAATTCTGCTAATTGCTTTACGACCTGCAGAGGCGCGCAGGGGAAGTGTGCCGGACGCCGAACAATAAAGCAATAAATCTACCTAACAATGGTTATGGGTGAACGTGAAGCGTGTGTGAAAGGGCTTTGAAGCTTTATTTGCTGGACGTCAGTTTGATCGACTGCTGAGACTTCAAAGGGCAGATCGGAGGAGGCTGACGGAGTGGGAGCTGAGAGCCATGACGTCCGGAGTGCCCAGTTTGGCTGCTGAGTGAGTACCTTTGGAAAAGCCAACAGAAGGGAGGCAATGGCTCAGCCCCGTGAACATGGCTTTGAGTTTAAACTGCCATGTCAGAAACTGACTAGCCAAAATTGGTTGCAGTGGAGCTTTCAAGTAGAGCTTTTGTTAGTTGGGGAGCAGCTGTGGAATGTAATTCACCCCCCACAGAATGCAGCTGGGAAAGCAGAGGCTAAGAGGGCTGCAGAGCAAAGTGAAGTTGAGAAGCGTGTGCTTGCTTTTTTGGCAGAAAGTGTGGATGCTCAGCTGGTGCCTGTTGTTCTGGGTGCAAGAAGTCCAGAGGCCGCTTGGCTAGCACTCCAAGAAGCTTGTGGAGCTGGAGTGGGAAGCAAGGGCCGAGAAGTGGCTGCATCCGAAAGGGAGAGGCAAGATGGTGCCGGCCACATTCTTGAGAGCCGATACACAGCTGGGAGGAGCTGGGAGCTCCCACAGGGGGGCGAAGGGACTGTTGCTGTTGTTGCTGTTGCTGTTGCTGTTGCTGTTGCTGGCAATGCTGCTGGCTTCAAGGCTGGCCACCTGCAGCAAGTAGAGATAAGAGCTTCAGAGTTGTGTGGGAACGCTGAGACAAGTCCAGTCTCCATGGCAACTGAGAGAGTTGCATCTACGGAAGCTGTGAAGGTCGTGGGCAAGTCTTCCTGCTGGGGGGAGTCTGTTGCCGTGACAACCAGAGAGGACATCTGCAGGAGCCCCAAGGAGGGGGGTAGTGAGGAGATTGTTGCCCTGGCGACCCAGGAATGTCAAAAACAAGACTTTCTCACTGTAATAATAGACTCTGGTGCAACAAATTCGCTAGTGCCATCTAGCAGTCTTTTGAGGAATTGCAGGACAGTAAAAACTGAGAAATATGTGACGATTGCAGATGGAAGCAGAAAAAGGCTAACAGAGACAGGCCTTTTCTTCTGTCCTTTCCTTAAGCATGAAGTCAAAGCTTATGCAGTGCCCGGTTTAACTAACTGTTTGTTAAGTGTGCATGATCTACTTATCGATGGTTTTCATATTTCTTTTGCAGGTGACAAATGTGAATTCTCCAAGGATGGGAAACACGTGTACACAGTACGGTCTAAAGATAATTTGTTTGCTGTAAATGTGCATTTTTCCACAGGACAGGATGACACAGAAGATGCGAAGGGCCAATGTGTGAATGTAGCGCCCCACCATGGTTGTTCACATATTTGGCACCGACGCTTCGCCCATTTGAATTGGAAATATCTCCAGAAAGCACCAGAGCTGACACAAGGGTGCAAATTTAATGTTTGTGACAAATTTTTAGATTGCAATGCATGTAAACAGGCGAAAATTGTGACATGCTCATATCCAAAGTCAGAGAGGCAGACCACAAAACCCTTTGAATTAATTCATGCAGATTTGTGTGGACCCATGTCTGTTGAGTCACTGGGAGGTTCGAAGTATTCTTTGCTTTTGATTGATGATTTTTCGAAGTCTGCTCTCTCTGAAAACGAAAGGGGAGGCGGCTAAAATGATCAGGGATTGGATCACCGCAGTTGAGGTAACCTTTTCCACCAAAGTTCGTGGTTTTCAAAGTGACAGAGGTGCTGAATTCACTGGTTCTGCTTTACAGGATTTCTTTAGGGAGAAGGGGATTAGCCACAGACTGACCACTCCTTACTCTCCGCAACAGAATGGGCTGGCAGAGAGAAAGAACAGGACGGTGCAGGAAGCTGTGTCTGCGATCCTGTGGGATGCAGGGCTACCCCAGAAATATTGGTCTGAGGCCTGGCGCTATGTGGTCCATACGGAGAATAGAGTGTACAACTCTAGTGTAGGAAACACACCGTATTTCTTACTGCATGGAAAGAAGCCTAAGGTACACTACTTTCGTGTGTTTGGTTGTGAGGCTTGGGTGCTTATTCCAAAGGCTCTACGCAAGAAAGGTGAGCCAAGATCTAAAAGAATGATCTTTGTAGGGTATGAGCCTGGCTCAAAGGCCTGGCGCTTTGCGTACCCAAGTGGAGACCAGTCTAGGTTGGTTATCAGCAATAGCGCTGAGTTCTGTGAGCAAGCCGGTTGGAAGCGTCTGCACGCTAATCCAGACGAGATTCCACAGCAGTTCTATGACTCAGATGTTGAGGAGGAAGAGGAACTTGGTGCTGGGGACCACGGTCCAGAGCGACAGAGTCCAAGGCAGGGACAGCTTAGGATCCCTCAGAGGGGGGAACCTAGAACACCTCCTCAGGCAAGTGTCAAATTTGAGCCAAAGAGTGAGCTTTCCTCACCTGCTGAACCAGCTGTAAGGCCCAAGAGGCGCAGCAGGTCAGAGGGGGAAGACACTGAAGTTGAGGATGATTTAGCTGGACCCAGTGAAGCAGCAGGGTCACCAGGATTCACACTGAGGAGATCAGCGAGGACAAGGAGGCCTCCTGATCGGTACGACGCTTCAGGCGTCTGGGTAGGTTCTGCAAGATGTGAACCTGAATCCTTCGAGGATATTCAGAGTTTACCTGAGGAAGAAGCAGGTAAGTGGCACAGGGCAATGGACAAAGAGATGAAGTCCATGAAAGATCTAGGTGTGTTCTCACTCACAGAGTTGCCACCGGGCAAGCAGACTGTGAGTTCCAGGTGGGTTTACCGCTTGAAACCCACTGACGCTGGAGAGCAGCAGTATAAAGTCAGGTTAGTTGCTTGAGGATTTACGCAGAGGAAGGGAATAAACTTCATGGAGGTGTATTCGCCAACGTCACGAGCGGAGACTCTGAGAACGCTTTTAGCTTGTGCAGCACAGAGAGGCTGGAAAGTAAACCACTTTGATGTGGATGTTGCCTACCTTAACTCAGATCTCCAGGAGGAGCTGTACATGATTCCTCCTCCGGGGTTTGAGAACTTAAGGCAGGATGTTGTGTGGAGATTGCACAAATCCATCTATGGATTACGTCAATCTGCTAGAAACTGGAACATGTGCCTGAATGAAGCCTTAGAAGAGCTAGGTTTCAGGAGAAGTGTTGCTGATAGTTGCTTTTATCTGAGAGGTTCAGGAGCAACACAAGAGTATTTGCTGATTTGGGTTGATGACGTGCTATTCTTCTCAGAAACAGATGAACAGGCGGAGAAGTTTGCCAAAGAGCTAGGTAAACGGTTCAAGCTTAAACAGCTTGGTGCTGTCAAAACCTATCTAGGTGTCAGTGTTGAGCGTGCACAGGATGGAAGCTTTTTGCTCAGCCAGAGAGGTAAAATTGAGCAATTGCTTCAGAAAATGAGGATGAGCGATTGTGCAGGAGTGAGAAGTCCTATGGAGACTAGTTTTGTGAAGGACAGCCAGCAAGTAGAATGCGCTGCGTTCGAAAATACTGAAGTGTTTCAGTCAGCCCTAGGGAGTTTGTTGTACTTGTCCCAGTGGAGCAGACCTGATATAGCGTTTGCTGTCAATCTGCTCAGCAGGGAAGCTTCAAACCCTAGTGTGCAAGCCTGGAATGGCATCAAGAGAGTTCTGAGGTATTTGCAGGAAACCAGAGACTTTTGTCTTAGGTTGCCAGCACAAGGAGAAGTCAAACTGACTTGCTTTGTGGACTCGGATTGGGCTAATCTTGAGGATCGGAAGTCTGTCTGGCCTAGTGGTGAAGTTTGGGAACTCAGTAGTTGGATGGAGGTCCAAGAAGCAAAGTCTTATAGCGCTCTCATCCACTGAGGCTGAGTTTAGTGCTCTTTCAGAGGTGTGCAGAGAAGTAGAGTTCTATGCTTGTTTGGTGCAGGAACTCTGCGAAGTGGATTGTCAGCCGATACGTGTTTTCGAGGACAATCAACCATGCCTGTATTTAGCAGAGTCAGGTCAGTTCAAGGCCAGAACTAAACACCTAGACATTCGCTTTCGGAATGTGTGCCAGAGTGTTCAGGAGGGATTAGTTGCGCTGAAGTATCGTCCCTCTGCCAAGAACCTAGCTGATGGGTTCACGAAGCCACTCACCTTCCAAAGACATGGGGAGTTTTGTGAAGGTCTGGGTTTGGGACGACCAAGGGTCGATTCTCCCCTCAGGCGTGAGACAAGAGGGGGTGTTGGGTGTAGTGAAGGGTTAACCTTTCTGTGTCTCGAGGCTGAGAGGAGGCGCTTACAAGGGAAGTAAGCCAGGACGTGACGAAAGCAGCTTGGAATGCTGTGAGCTGAGTGAAGAGTGAAAGCAGCTTTGTTACGCAGCTGCACACTGAGAGAGAAGAATGCAGAGAAAATGCAGCTACAATCTGATGGTCTTTATGAATTTTAAATATGCTACTTTTGAGCAAATAAAGTGATATTAGGACAGAAGAAACGTGTGGGACTTGTTTTACTGCCCTTTCAACACGGACGCTGTGCAATTCTGCTAATTGCTTTACGACCTGCAGAGGCGCGCAGGGGAAGTGTGCCGGACGCCGAACAATAAAGCAATAAATCTACCTAACAGGCTCCTTTTATTAGCAGAAGTCAGCAGTTGGAAACAGTAGTGAAACCACCCTGAACATGACGTATTTCCATCTAAGCACATTTCCAGCATTAGCAAATACACGTATCAGCAGGTGTTTCCCTAAAATGTTTCCCCCGATACTTGATTGCGTCTGTGTCCCGGGTCATGCTCCAGCCAAGCATTATGTCTAGCAAACAATTTGTGAGAGGACAAACGGTCAGGTGGAAAACCCTGTTTTCTAGCCAGGAAGGCAAAAGGTCAGGGAAAGCAGGCACAATGCTCCTTGACATACTGTTGCATGTCTGGTGCAAGGTTTGCCTTCGCAAAGCGGAGCATTACCTCCACACATGAGTTCTTACTGGGACTTTGTGGAGAGCCAACATTCAGTTGGCAGTTCATCTGCTGGATTGACTCCAGGTGGAGTATTGTAATGGCTTGGCTCTCCCACAGAAGCGAGACACCGGTCGTAATTCTCTCAGGTTTATTGCTCAAACACATAAATCACTCTAGAGCTCTTTCACTCCATGTCTCCCCAGCGGGGGAGGGGCGTGGCACACCAGCCCTGGAGTTGAAGCAGGGGGCGGAATCATCTCCCGATCACAACCCCTCCCCTCCTGGGAGGAGGAAAGCCTTTGTGATTCGAGGACCCGATCCCCGCTTGGGGAATAAAGACACGTGGACACAGAATGTAAGGTTAATGGGTAAGGTAAAGGCCTGTGATGGCCTGGGAATCCGATTCACAGGCTGAACCGGAGGAATCCCAGCCTGCACAGGAGTCCCTGCCTTCAGAGCCGGCTGAACTGGGGCAGGGCCTTGATTCTGAAGCGCCTGCACCTGTGCCGGATCCTCAGAAGCAGGCACCAGGTGAATCCACTCTGGCTCCGGAGGTGGTTGAGGACACAGTGCCTACAGGTGCGCCTCTCCCAGCCCTGTCAGGGGAAGGTGAGTCTCCCCCTGGGTCCAGTAATCCTCCAGCCTCTCCTGAGCTGCAGAGGCTCAGGGCAGAGAGGCGGAGGGAACTGGTTTCTCCCAGGAGGAGTGCTCACCTTAAGGACAGGAGAGGCGGGTCTCCTGGGGGGCCGGGACCGCCCCGGCCGCAGAGAAGATAAAGGCCAGTCAGCCTGGTCCCAGGTTGCGGGAGCAACGTCATTGAAGAGCTGTTTCGGCCAGCACCCAATCCTGTTCCTCCAGAGTTCCTGTCCTTGCCCGGCTCCTCGCTTTGGACCCCGCTTCGCCCGTGGAGGACTGTCTGCCGACCCTCGACTCAGGTCCTGGACCTCGCCCCACGGTAACCTCCCCCTGGGACCAGCACAAGGCCACAACTTTATTGATTAGAGCATGTGAGAAGGTATTGGCTTAGGCATTGGACCACAGCACATTAGACTCCACCCACTCGTAGAGGGGTGAGTCTGAGGAGGGGTTAACCACCAGTAGGGGAAGCCTGTTGATGCTAATCCAACTATAGGCTCTCTTCCTGATGTCACTGAGGGTCGTGCCATGGCCCCCCGCCACACGGGCATCAGACAGGATCCACGACCGCCGGATTCCTTTTGCGGAATACCCAAAATTGCCGGGGAAGGCGATGGCCACACCTTGCCCCCCGAAACACCAACAACACATTCCAATGCCTAACTGCCACCCGAGCCAAAAGGCTCGCCGCCAATACCCTCACAGCTGCAACCAATCCCTAAGACTATTGGATATGTTAGCCAGCCATATGTCATTTCCCCGATTTGAAAGATGAACGCCATCATCCTGGAATAGGGTCTGGTTGCCAATCTGGATATCATCATGAGATATAACTAGGCCATTTATAAAACGCACTTTGCGCGCTACCGCGTGATTCAAGAGTTTCCTGGATTTCTTGATGGCCATAATGTTATGCGCACCGCGCCAAACCTTTCTCTTCAAGAGAGAGGACCAGAACAGGGTTGTTCTGGGAAATAAGGCAGCCAACTAATCCAAGACCTTACTCATGTTCCACAACAAGTCCACACTCTTCGTGCTAGCTGGGTCGTTCTCACCCAGCTGAATGATTAGAATGTTAGGGGGGCCCAACAGCGCAGCTTTTGCCTTCAGCAGTGGCATGAGTTCTTGCCAGTGCATGCCCCTTCTTGACAACCAGGAAACTCGCACCCACGATGGTAGCCCCAGATTAGGCATGAAGCCGGAACTTGCTGCCTAGAGGCGGGCCCAATGCACGATACTGTGGCTGCAAATCCACACTGGACTACCGAAGACAGCTAAGAATAAAGAAAGAAAAGACAGGTAAGTGGAGCGTTCTCAGAATACTTTTGTAGGCATTAGATTTCCAGCGGCCCATCTCCTTGATCCTGTCTGCCGGAAGGCCCATGTGTGTGGCCGTTGTGGCCACACCAATCCTAAATGAATGTGCCGTGTAGTCTTTGGAAGGGAAACCGCAGGCATCTATCGCTTTGCGAAGTACCCTGGTGAACTGGTGCCTCATCAATCGGGATCCATCCTCATGAATAAAGAGCGGGCCAAGGCCGGGAGGTCTGAGGTAAAGGTATCGCCTGGTGTCCTTTACTGGGCATGGGCCCTTCTGGCTGGAGGCCGTGAGTTGGACTATGGTGCCCTTACCGCCCTGGTCCGTCTTAGACTGACGCACCCGCACCATCACACCTGAACTGGACACGTGCACGTCCTCCAGGAGGAGGCCGCGCGTTTTCCCACTTGAGGTAGCTTATGCTACCACCTCACCGACCCTAAAGGCACCAAAGAAGGCTATAGCGTATGCTGCAGAGAACAGCTGGGCCTCAAACTTGGACCAGCAAATTGACCTAAGTTTCATACGTTAGGGGAAAGGGACGATACTTTGGACCTGAAACCCGTGAAGTCGCACCATACTTTCTTATAAGACCTGAGGGTAGAGGGTGCAACAGACGCAAATACTCCTTTGATCTCCAAAGTTCCATAGGTGATCCGGAAAGGGTTCTGGCAGCAGCTGAGCTCAAGGTGCTAACGGCACAAATGATCGAAGTAGGCGAGACCCCTCTTGGAACGTGATGACTGCTAGCCAGCACGTTAACCACCAACTGGTTATCAGTTCTGAAGCAACCGGCGATTCCGGAACTCCTCGGTCCATATGTGAACAGCCACAACTATGAGAAAAAACTCCAGAAAAGTGAGATTCCACATGATGGCCTCCCCTTGCCACTCCGCTGGCCATTGTTGCGCATGCCAACGTCCCTTAAAGAACAGACCAAAGGCCAGGGACCCTGCCGCATTGGAGTGGACCTGGAAATCAGAGGCCAAATTAAGGATTTCCTGCGATAGGGAGTCTCCGTTGCAGTGTTCCAGAAATCTGATCCACATCTCAAGGTCTGCCTTGACCGACTTGGGGAGTCTTACTCTATGGTGCGGATGTTTGAAGGCCCGCTGACAGCCTGGCTAAGCAGGAGCAAAATGGGCGGCCCAGTGAAACTACTCTACACGCGAAGTTGAAATGATCTAGCAAGGACTGGACCTGTCTAAGAGTGACCTATTTAGTTATTTAGTTATTTATTTATTTATTTTAGGGGAAGGGTTTGATGAATTGTTTCCTTAAGGGCAATTATTTTCTCCTCTCGCAGGCGGGCGGATTGAGCTGCTGTGTCAAGCTCTATACCCAGGTAAGTAAGGCGCGTTGTGGGTCCGTCTTATCTGCCTCGAGGGGAACTCCCAGCTCCCGGGCCAAAGCTGAAAAGGCCTCCAGAAGGGAGGCACATTCGCCGGTATTGGGCTTCCCAACGAGTAGAAAGTCACTGAGGTAACGCGTCACCCCGGGTGAGTTGGTTCTGTAGCGCAAGGCCCAGTCCCAAAAGGTGCTAAATGTCTCAAAGGCCGAGCAGGCTACAGATCAACCCATCAGCATAGCCTTGCCAATGTAATATTTCCCTTGAAATTTGAGTCCCAGCAAATGGAGGTCATTGGGATGAACCGGCAATAGACGGAAGGCTGACTCTATGTCACATTTTGCCAAGAGTGCCCCATGACCAAAATTCTGGATATGTCTTACTGCCTGATCGAAGGTGGCATATTTTACTGAGCACAATTCCGGTGAAATGGCATCGTATACTGGGCCACCCTTAGGGTAAGAAAGGTTGTGGATTAATCTGAACTCACCATGGGTCTTTTTGGGTACAATACCAAGGGGCGAGATGTGCAGGTTTGGGATAGGGGGGTGTACAAATGGACCAGCCACCCTCCCTGCGGTCACTTCCTTAGCTATTTTCTTTTCTGCAACCTCAAGCCTTTCCCTTACTGACCTCTGGTTAGGGGAATCCTTTGCAATTAAAGAGTCGGTTACTGGTATTCTGAAACCCTCTGAAAAAACCCTTCCAAAGAAAGGATGCTGTGCTTTCGTCTGGATAGCTAGACAAGAGGTTACGGAGAGGAGGGAGCTGGATCAGTGAAAATGCTAGACCCGGAGGGTCCCTATCGTCTGTTCCCTGCTGTGGGGGCTCCTCTGGAATTAGAATGGTGCAACCCCCGACCTCCCTGAAAGGGCTGCTTCTCTTTGTAACATGCTGCGGCTGGGTGTACCCCTGCACACCTCTCACACTCGTGCGGATACTTACAAGACTGCCTTTGGCATGACCCCTTATTGAATTCTCAACACACCTTGCGCTTTGGCTCGCCTCTTGGGTCCTGCTTACCCATGCGATAAGAATCTAATGGCTTCTTCTCAACATATGGGATGACCGCCACCTCAGCTGTCTGAAGCTCCCCCTCCAGCTGTTGTTCCTCCTCACCGGCTGACGAGGTGCCCGATTCTGGAAGCTGGACCCTGGGCTGCTTATTCTGTGAAGGACTGAAAGAACTGGACGCAACAGCGTTATTGACACAGGCCGGTGGCCTCCGCGCAGGCAACCCAATGCTGTTCTGAGGACCAGATGATGCCAAGTGAGCCCGAGACCTAGTATGCACTGCCGCCGCTACTGCCTGAGAGCTTGGGCCTGTGCCTGAGAACTGAGCATCGTTGAAGAGGGCGGCAGAGGTGCCTGGGGGGTCATCAACCTGGGTGAGAGGTGGGCTCTCCGGAACCCCCTGGGTATCTGGCATCATATCAGGGGTAGCAGCGGAGGGCATGGGGTTAAAAACACTGCTCATAATCATCAATGAACGATCTAAAGGCATTTAGGATGTGTGAAATAGGTTTGGGGTTATTATCCCGTCCATGTGGCACCCGCGATCTAAAGGCATTTAGGATGTGTGAAATAGGTTTGGGATTATTATCCCGTCCATGTGGCACCCGCGATCTAAAGACATTTAGGATGTGTGAAATAGGTTTGGGGTTATTTTTTTTTTTTAAATGATATTTATTAAGCATTTTAAAGTTACAGAAAAAAAACAAAGAGACAAAGAAAAAAGAAAAAAGCAAGGGAAAAACAAACAGCAGTTAAACAATACAAATCAATAAAAGTAAAAAAAAAAAAAACCACATCAAAATCCAAAAAACAAAAGTAAACCACAAACATTTAAAAACAGATCCAATGTTCCCAAATCCTCAACTGTCATTACCTTATTTCATCGACCTCCTCACACCTCCCTTTTTTGTATTCCAGTTATTAATTATAACAGCAAATCCTTCCCATTTTTCATAATATTCTGTCATTAAATTACCTTAATCTATTTTAACCTTATCTTACTATAAAAAACCCTAAAACTTAAAACTTAAATCTTATTTATACCAATTTCTCATAACCATAACATATTCTTGCATAGTTCTTTTTAACATTTCTGCTAAAGCCAAATAGTTTCGTTTCAACATTTTTCTAATACTCATTAATTTTATAAAACAATCCTAAATAAAAAATTTTTAAAACTTTCTTCCAATCTTCATCCAACGTCTCTTCCTCCTGGTCCCGGGTTTTGTCAGTCCTTTCTGTCCCATCCATCTAGTTCATTAACCTGGTAATCTTATGTCCGAGGCCCTTAAGTCTCTTCCATGTCCCTTCCGCAGATCTTCTTCATATTTATACCTGTACTTTACTTTGTCTCCTGGTCCTTTCACTCGTGGAAACTCCAACTTGGCAGTATTTTTGTCCCTTCTCAACAGATCAGCCCCTTTTCCATAGTCCACACTGAACTCCATGTGGTATTTAAAAGCATGTTTCAAGTTCCCTCCGGAGTTGAGGACCTCCACAACTCCAAACTCCTCACGGCCCATTGCCAGACTTGAAAAGTCAAGACATCCCTGCATAGGGGGGTCTATCCAGCCCCCCATCTCCAAGCCCAACAAAACTCTATCTCTCCAAATCTGGCTTTTTCCAAGTTCATTTGTCAAATCCAACAACTCATGTTCCTGCTGGGCCACAGCTCCCTCCATCTCTGCCACCCGAGGTCCTACAACAATCTCCTCCCTCATCTGATCTGTCAGAGCACACTCCTGAGTTGATTCCTGGGTGGGTTCTATATAGATACCCACTACCTGTCCAAAATTTCTAATCGCAACAGTCATCAAATCCGTCTTCTCATGTAACTGTTCCAATAAAGCACTTGTCTTACAGAAAGCACGCACCAGAGCCTCTGAATACATTGTTATGCAAGGTCAGAAGTCTGTTCCCATGATCTTAATCTGTTTGCAGCTGCGAAGCTCCCAGTTCAAGTTTAATAACAGTTTCACAAGCTCCCTCTAGGGGAAGAACTTCTATTTGTATCAATCTCTTTTCTTTCTTTTTTTTTTTTTACCAGCAGATCTAACAACAAAGTTTCCTTTTTCAGATATTTTGTCAGTATTTGTTCCTTTAAAATGCAAAAGAGAACAATGGAATCACTATGTTTCTCTTCTTTTAACTGTCTGTCAAAAACATTTGTCTATAGTCAATGAACTTAACAAAAAAGTCTGTCCTGACACCGCGCTCCCAGGTTCAAGACGGTGGAAAATTACTTTTCTTTACACTCTCTCCTGCAAGTTTAAACAATCCGGAAAAAATCCCCCCTCTTCTCCTGCTTCCGAAGGGGGTTCAGTAGTTTTAGATGATGAAAGTTGATCCTTTACAAACGATTTTCTGAACTCTAGTTTGCCATGTCTTTGCTTTAATCTATCTACAAGAAACGGAAGGCTGACTTCCCGCTTCAGTGCCAAATTAAGAAGAATTTCCTAATCCAATTTTCCCTTCTACTCACAGATCGTTGTTTAAAGTCCAATTGTCCAAATTTGATCTGCTCACGGGTAGTTGTTTTTGTAACCAAATTGTCCCAGGAAAAAGGTAGCGCTCTCCGGCAACGGCTGTGCGGCTTTGCTCCACGGAAGAAGCAGTTGACTCTCAGCACCGTGCCACTAGCCCCTCTTTGCTCCGGAGCCCGTAATTGGGTTCCTTTACGGATTGGGGGCGCGCGAAAGGTGCCCGCCGAGTCCCATGGTCACAGGCTTCCTCCGCCTGTGATTTTTTGAAGGGTCCCCGCTTCGCCGTAGCGGAACAGACCCGTATTCCATGTCCCTCCGGATCAGAGGGAGTCCGCCATTACCAATGGCGCCACCCCGGAAGTCCAATAGGTTTGGGGCTATTATCCCGTCCATGTGGCACCCGCGATGAATTACGGCTATTGGCACCCATGCAGCCTGAGGTGTGAGCTGATTCCTCCTCAGAGTGCTTCCTCTTAGGTGCCATGGATAACGCGCTAAAGCAACTTCCACAAATGCATGCTACTGTTTACAAGCAGTTGTACAGGCATGTGTTTTTGATTCTGAAACGAATGTGCTAAATAACGATTGATTTACTTATAATAAATAACGATTCTTCCAAGTATTCAATTAAATGTTTGATTGTTTATCCAATTAGAATGTGCGCGCGCGTGTTATTCATATACAGTGGTGCCTCGCAAGACGAAATTAATCCGTTCCGCGAGTGTCTTCGTCTAGCAGTTTTTTCGTCTTGCGAAGCAACCCTATTAGCGGCTTAACGGATTAGCGCTATTAGCGGTTTAGCGGCTATTAAAGGCTTATCAGCTTAGCGGATTAGCTGCTAAAAGGCTATTAAAGGCTTAGCGGCTTAGATAAAGGGGGGGGAAAGCGAAAAAAAAATCTCAAGACTCGCAAGACATTCTCGTCTTGCGAAGCAAGCCCATAGGGAAATTCGTCCTGCGAAGCAACTCAAAAACAGAAAACCCTTTCGTCTAGCGGGTTTTCCGTCTTGCGAGGCATTCGTCTTGCGGGGCACCACTGTATATATATATATATATATATATATATACACAGACACACATATATATTCTTTTTATTTATTTATTTATTTATCTTTTATTATTATTATTATTATTATTATTATTATTATTATTATTAAAGATGCTTCCTACTTCATATTATAATATCTCATTCAATCCCCTGCAATGCAGGAATATGCAGGGGTCCCATACCGGGATCAAACCAGCAACCTTGGCCTTATCAGCACCATGCTCTAACCAGTTGAGCTATCCAGGCTCTCTAGAATTGTGTGGGACCCCGAGGGTCATTTAGTCCAACCCCTTGCAATGCAGGAATATGCAGCTGTACCATACAGGGATCGAACCTGCAACCTTGGCGTTATTGTCACCAAGCTCTAACCAACTGAGGGTTCCTAAATATATGTGAATTATTTATTATTAATTAATTTTTCTTAAAAAAAAATTATTTATCTATTTATATGTTTATGTTTAGATTTATTTAATTAATTAATCAATTTAATCTTGGTATGTGATGCCGTTCCACTTATTCTCTTTATTATTATTATTAAATATATTTTTAATTTTTTTTAATTTTTTTAAATAATAATAATAATAATAATAATTTGTCCATTTATTTTATTTATTATTATTATTATTTCTATTATTATGTATCTATTTATCTATTATTATTTATTTGTTGTTATTATTATTCTTATTTATTCTTATTGTTATTTAAATAGATTTTATTTATTAAAATCTATTCCAGTATTATTTGTTCAATCAATTACCACTGTAAGTAGAATTAATTGTCGATACTATCAATTGTCTGCCATAACTGATGATATGAAAAAATTATTCATCACTTGACTGTTCCGTTTGTATTTGTCTATAAATTTATTTATTTGCCACCAAGCAAATGGGTCAGGCGGATAGACACAGCTAAATATTTAAACATGCCTCCTGAGGAACAACTCACAAGTATATAGCGATGTAACAATAGGGACAGCAGAGCAACGCAACCCCCACACTGCAATCAAATGGAATCAAAGAACATCGCTCTCAGGGAAATGTCCTTTAAATAACACTTTGCAAAACAAAAGGTAATGCTGGAGCCCCAGTGGAAGGAGAATGCTGCCAAAGACAATGTATCCTTGATCGGCCATCCGCCAGGTACTTGAATTCACAATGTACCACGAACTGCCTGTTGTTAAGCGACAATGTATCCTGCCTGGAAGCCAGGACAATTGTGAAGGCATTTCTTAAGCCAGGCAGCAGAATGAGTCAGACAAAAAGAAGGAAATAAAACTTTTTTAAGGGCGGGGGCAGGGGCTAGATCACAAGCGAAATGAAAATAAATAAATAAATAAATAAATAAAGGGGGTACACGAAGAGGAAACTTAAAGGAGGGTCCTTATGAATTGCGCAGAGCAGAACAGGCAAGGAGAAGGGGAAACAAACAAAATAATAGTGCAATAGGGAGCCGCAGATCTGACAAAATTAACTGATGCCTCAATCGAACCCGAGAATTATACAGAGAAGCGACCACACGCACAATCGCAGCTGACCAGTTACCCTGTTGCTTAGCTAAGCAAGACTGTAAAATGAGGCTAGCCAAAATCGGCTGGAGGAGGGGGGATAGTGGGCTGCCGGCTAAATGATCAAGTATGAAGGCGGAAGGAAACTAAACAGTAGATAAGGTGACTGCTGCCCCAGGTGCCTCAGTAAATGAAACACTGCACAACTAAACCCCTAGGTGGCTGCCTGGCAAGTCCTGCTGCCCGGGTAAAGCAGCTTATACTTTTGTCCCGCACTAGGAGAGGAGGAGGAAGCAAAGGTGATTTTTTCTATCATATGCTCCAAACCTTCGCACGTAGCCTGGGAGGATAATTGGAACTTTAAAATTTAAACCGCAGTGCCGAGACTGGGGAGAAAGCTGGGGGCCA